CCTTCTCTGGTATGAGGAAAAGATTAGCAAAATGTCCTTGACAACAATAATGCAGTCTTGATAAACTCCAGGGCAATGCTCCCCTCCCCTGGAATTCTGTTGCATCATCATATCATCAAGGGGCGCGAGTCAGATTAACCTTGTGTACACGAGGAACATAAGAGAATCACTGTAAAGTGTTCAAGGTAACGTGTGTGCCTTGACGTCTGTGAAGTGTACAATTATGAAAATGTCACATATAGAATCATTTCCCTTCTTGACACCTTCTTGTAATATTAATGTTAATATTATTAATGTTGATTACAAAAAGCAAAAACGACACCAATCGTTTACTATTTTACTATGATAAATATAAGATCTGCCCGCATTTTGTTTTCAACAAGGCATTTTATTAAGTAAAGAGAATCAATACATGTCAATATTTATAAAAATAATAAAAAAAAAATAATACAATATGCAACAATAAAAAATAGTGTACCTCTCACCATCAATAAACAACATGTCTTGTCTCCTTTAGAGCAAGCCATACCAAACAACAACAACGTTTGCGCTTTCTTCTTGTTTTGTAAAAGATAAATTTTTTTTCCAAAAAAAAAAAAAAATCCCAATCATGTCAACAACAATAACAATAGGGCTTCTTTGTCCAACCACACGTGTGTATATATTGTGTTTGTGTATCACGAATTTTTTTATCAATTCATTTTTAAAAAAATTTTTTTATTTTTTTTTTAGGATGTTGTTGTCTGATAGAAAAAAAAAGAGAAAACAACAAAATGCACCATATGATCGCGGGTGAGTGTCATTTATTATTAAATGGTGGTGGTGGTGGTTGCCACTTGTCGCCACTCTAGTTATTATTATTATTATTTTGGCCCCTGTAATTCTGGTAATATGAATGTTCACTTTGTCTGATTTTGTTGCAATATGCCCCAATTAATCCATTTAACAGTGATGATGATGGTTATGAAAATAAAAGAAGGAAAGAAGAAACGTCAGAATTTCAACAATCTACATGGATGTGGATAAGCAATTTAATTAATTTACAAGAGCTCATGGATGTTGTAAGCATGGCTGACACTACAAATTTTGAACTTTCACTGAGGACATTCAATTTACTAACATTACTGAAAGAGATATATGCTAAAGTTGTATTTTCATTATTACACATTGTTTTAGTATGAATAACAAAACTTATTAAATTGTAATCTAACCTG